TGAGAAATCGGCTGATAGTTTTATGGGAGCTCCCTTGTAGGTAACTAACTGCTTTTCTCTTGCTGCTTTTAATATTCTCTCTTTGTCTTTAACCTTTGGCATTTTAATTATGATGTGTCTTGGTGCGGGCCTGTTTGTGTTCATTTTGTTTGGGACTCTCTGCACTTTCTGGGCTTCTCTATGTCTATTTCCTTCACCAGGTTAGGAAAGTTTTCAGTCATTATTTGTTTAAATAGAATCTCAATCCCTTGCTTTTTCTCTTCTCAGGCTGACTGGGTTTGGCCACATCCACAGCTTTTAGGCTGCTGTGCAGGGGGCTTACCCCATGGAGCAGGATCTGCCTCTGTGGGCTGTGGTGCCTGTAGAGACCACCCTTTGTTGCTGCTTGTGGGGCTAATTGGGTTGGTGCTCCGCTGTGGTCTGAAGCCAGCCTCTAAGTATGTTGGTTCAGGGGCCTCTTGGGAGTGGCTCCAGTGCAGGCCACTGGAGCCACTGCCTGTGACCAGCTGGGGAGTACCTGGTAGGAGCTACAAAGTGATTCATAGTTGGTTGCCGCCTGTGCTGTACCTGGAGGTGGATTGGGGAGGCCACAATGTGAACCGAGGACGGCTGCCTCCAGTACCAGGCCTGGGGTAGCTCCGCAAAAAGCCAGAGCACTCCGTGGCCAGCTGCCACCTGCCAGTTCTCATAAGCTTCAGCTGCTGATGAAGCCTTCTTTGGTTCGAAAGTTAGGTGAGTCAGGGTCTCAGTGAGTAAGCGGGGTGGAGGCGTGGAGCTCATAGGCCAATCAGCTTCAGATTGGGCCTGTCGGGGGTGAGTTAAACACAGGAAAGATGGCAGTCACCTGCTGGCTGTAAGGGAAGAGGGCTCCATACAGGGGAAATGGGGACTGTTCCTCCAGTTCTCGCCCTGAAGTTACACAACTCAGTCTCTCCCCATATGTCTCCGATGCCCGCAGAGTCACCGGAGTCACCGTCCCTCCGCCGGAGCCCACGGTGAGTGCCTGCGCGGGTCCTTAAGGGGATGTCTGGGTTTCCCACAGCTTTCTGTCCCACCTGGATGGTAGGAATCCCCACTGTTTTTCACAGCCAGAAGTTGTGGGGGCTCCTCTTCCCGGCACTTTACTCCAGGTTAGGGAGCCTGGTATAGGGGGCTGGGGTCCCTCTCTCCTTTGTGGGGAACCTCTGTAGCTGAGCTATTAATCTCTCTCCTGATTTTCAATTAACAAATATGGGTGTGGGACCAGCTCCGTTTCATGTCTCCACTCATCCTACCAGCCTCGACATGGCTTCTTTTTATCCTTAGTTATAAAACTTCTGTTCATCTACACTTCAGATGGTTCTCCAGGTTGATTGTCCTATGATTTAGTTGTAACTTTGATGTGTTCATGGGATGAGACAAGCAATGTTTATCTACTTCACCATCTCGGGTCTCCCATTGGGATTCTCTGTATTTTCTAAATGTTCTATAATGCGGTTTTATTATTTTATACTGAAAAAGATGCAGTTATTATTTTAAAAGAAAGGCAAACAAGAAGAAAGACAATACAGCAACAATGCTGATAAACATGTTTGTAAAAATTCCTCAGGTTCAAGTTGTAATATGGAGTGTGTTAAGGTCATTACAGCTCTTGTCTTCTGCCATCCTGCCTTCACTTTAGGGTTTACCACTTTATGTGTCTCTTCCTTTTATTGCTCTTAATAGTATTAAAGTTTTATTTTTTTATTTTTCCTTTATATAATAGCTATCAGATTTAAAGTCTTTTTTCTCTTTCTTTCCCTCTCTTAACATAATGTCTTCTTGCTTGGCTTCTATGGTGGTTTTGTGTTATTTGACGTAACATGTCATCAATTGACTGCCAGTTCTGAAACAATGAGTTTTACACCTAGGTATGTTTTAATTATGACATGAGGTAATTGAACGCTATAATATTTATTCGCTTTTTAAAAAGTCAAAGTTAAAATGGGATTGACGTTGGTGTTAATAGAGAGCTGAGGCTCTAAAATCTAGCAGAACGTATGACTTGCACCTGGATGTAACCAAGCTTGATTGTGTTGTTGAAGTGATTTATCTCGTTTATTACTTCCTGGTAGAATGAGACAGCTTCTGTGACTAATTTTTGTGCCACGGATCAATGAATTTGTAGGTTGGTTTTGCTAGTTAAATGTTTCTATCAAATATCCTTATTCACACAGGAAATGATTCCTTTTTATAGTTTGTTCTTGTCAGTAAAGATCATACTAAGTATCCGTTGAAAATACAGGTAAAAGACTCACCATCAGGAGCAAAAATAGGTCAAATTTTATACATGTGAGTTTATGTGTATGTGCGCGTGTGTGTATATTCACACATACATACAATAGCAACCAGCACTTGTAGAGCTTCTATCAGGCGATAACACCAACGAGACTAAACTTCAGGTACTGAGGACACAACTTACCAGGGTTGAGAAAAAATTGTTGTTATTATCATTTATGAATACTTCTAATGGAGTGCTCTCCTGGTTGATCTAATAACTTTGATTTTTAGATTCTAAAGTATGGAAAAGGAAATGAATTAAATCTTGTGAAAATTTAATGTATATACGAACTTGCCTCCTAAATCCTACTTGCCAGTTTATGATGGGAACAAATTTTAAAGACCAAAGGAATCATTTTTATTTCATATCTTCTTTTAGCAAATTCTTTTTGTTTCAAATTATTTTTATTTTTCCTAAATACTGGATTTAACTACTGGTTAGAGTTGGAAGGGCTGAGGGAATTTTCTTGAAATTTCTCTAATGATCTCTTAGTTATTGAAAAGCAGTTTCAATTTTGCAATGAACACATAATACTTTTATTATCTCAAAAAAAAAGGATCTATTTTAAAACTGTGTATATATACCAGGCAAAAAAGAGCAAAAACAGCCTTAAGGGCAGCATTGAATCTTTTTTCCATTTTAGCTAAGCAATCCTTTTTCTCCAAGAGTGATAGGAAATGCCATGTTCAAGAAGCCCCTACTGGATCAATATGGTCTGGGGAGAGAGAATACGCAAAGCGCGGAATGGCTGGGCCTCTTTGGGTCTTGCTAGAGAAAATTCTTGCAGCAGTTAGAAGGACTGAGTAGAGACAAAATGAGCTGACACATTCTACACCCCCCCTCCCTTAGACCTCAGAGTATTTCTGAGAGGACACATGGCAGAGAAACTTGCAGAAACAGTCTAATGGGAGACTGACACTGAAGAGAAACACTGGCCATGTGATAACTTTCTGCCAGCAGCTGATAGCCAGGAAGAGGAGCGTGGATTTGGCTCTCTTGTTAGCCCTGGGCAGTCATGTTCTCTCTCTTTCTCCCTTCCTTTTTCCTTCTATTTCTCTCAACACACACAAATACTCGTACACCAAAAATTTCAAAGTATTCACTCCATTATATTCTACTCAGAGACCAAAAATTCAACCAAAGAATAAAACCATAATCTTTGCTAGGAAGGGTTGAAACATAAAAGTAACAAAAGTCAACATAGATATAATTGAAAATAAAAATAAATAAATAAAACCACTGATCGAGCATTTTGGAAGACAAAGTACCTTTAAATACATAAACACCAACAATTCTAGTGTTTCTGGAAAGTAGACTTGGTATCTCTAGAAATAGTTACATGAACCTGATAAAGACCTTATTCTTTCAGGTCTTATGAGTTATTGTTACAATGAATAAGGCCCAATTCTAACACAAAAGACTGTAATAAAACATTCTTTGAATATTAAAATAATTCTCCCAAAGCCTCTATTAAGCTTTGAAAATTTCAGGCAAGTTTTTGTATCTGAAACTGTGCCCAAGATATATACTGAGTAATGTGTTGCTATCAAAGCTTTTTGGATGAAGAAAAAATGAACTTTGGGTATTAGAATATTTGATTTACTAGATTTTGGCTCTGTCTTGCCTGTTTCTCTTGCTAAACGTTTAGACTGAGACTTTACTATGATTATCTAATCTTAGTCCATCTTGGAAGTCTAGCCTTTGTAAATAGTGGAAAAGGAGACCCTCCTGGATTGTTATGGTGAATATTTGGCTCTGAATGAAATGAATGTTTAAATCTCTAAGATTTCAAGTAATGTTGAATTTGGCTGGATACCCTGTGGTTTTAATATTTTAAGCCTTTAGAAATACATGGGTTCTCAAATAGTGATATGCTTTTTTTTTCCTGACTAGCATTTTGTTATTACCCTCACTGTCTACTTCAAATAAATTTTATGCAGTTTACAATTCTTATAGCATATGGTTGCTGCCTACAAGCACTTTGTGTGCCTTGGCAGGCAGCCACCTGCGATACTGAAGAATGATTTCCTGCATGAGCAGTAGAAAATCTTGCTTTTATTCATTTTTCTACTTGAGTTCAACTTTTAAGGTAGGGCTGGGTTAGATCTTTCTTTTCTTTCCTCTCTCCATCTTCCCTCCCTCTCTTTCTTCCTATTTCTTTGGTGCAGTCTCTCGTTACACCAGGTAGAATAGTTTATGCATCAATATTATTAGAGGTTAAGAAATGATAATATAATACTCATGTAGACAACTCCAGGTGTTTCTAGCTTTTGCCTTTTCCTGAATCCTCACCCATTCTTCCAAGTCATTTTGAGTATGGACCCATTTGTCCTTTGCTTTGTACTTTCTGGCTGTAGAGAATTCCTCAAAGCAGAGAATGAGTTGGTTTGTAAGCCTCACCACTCATGGTGAGACCTTGCATGGATTTCTGTTTTGGAAAAATAGTACTTTTTACTTAGCAATAATTGAGATAAGGGCTGGGTATAATTAACAGCTGCAAAAGAGGGGGTTAGAAAGAAGGAACAGATGTTTTGAGAATATAGACCAAGGGTCGGAAAACTGCGGCTCATGAGCCACACGCGGCTCTTTGGGTACGTACACGTGGCTCTGAAGTAAACTTGAAAATGAAAATAAAACTATTGTAGTTTCATTCATAAAATGTCTAAAGGATATTATTCATATAACAGTGATTTCATTTGTTTTATGGATCTCGAATAATTTTTCAATTGTTGTGAGGGACAGGATTGGCTCTTCCATCTCAAAAGCTTGCCGACCCCTAATATAGACTGAGGCAGTGACCGCAAGAGGTGGTAGGAAATTCTTTGGAGAGAGTGATAGATGACAGGGCAGGAACTGAGGAGTTGACAGGGGCCGGTGAATATTCTGTATAAAGACCTGGTAGCACAAGAGACGCCCCGAGCAGAGCCTCCTCTCAGCCTGAGGACCCTGATCCCTTCATGCCTTAGCACTTCCAACCCACTTTCTTTCCCACTTCCAACACTTTCCTTGAGGGAAGCCACAAGTGGGTTGGGCTGGAAGGCATGCGCTGAGTTGTGTAGAAGCAGCAGCTGGGAAAAGTGAGCAATTTACAGCTCTAAGTGTTCCTCTTTTCTGTTTATGGCCTCCTGTGGTCATCTTTGTGTCTGTGCATTCTATGCAGATTTGCAATCAAACCCAACTGCTGTTCTGTCCTTTGATCAATTGGTTGAATTTATTGGTTTATAATTGGGTTACTTATTTTTGCCCAACATTACATGGCCTAAATACTTGTATTCTGAACCTACTTTGGATTCATAGGGCATTAGTCTACTGTAGTCCCAAGTGCAAGTAAGAGATAATTTTTTTGATTTTTTGCAAGGGAGAAATTCAAAAAAGGATGAGAGAAATGTATGTAAATATAGACATGATATACACATGTGTATATATGTGCAAAAGCACATATGTGTATATACTCACAAATCAATGCGTATGTAAACACATATGCATATATTATGTATATAATGTTTAAATGGAAGCTGGACATCCATTACTTACTATAGAACTTATTAAACTATATATGGAAATAAATACAATATCACGTTTTCAGTATTTATATATTGTAGTGGAAGTCTTTAAATACCAAATCTTACTATTGATTGGCAAATTGAATTAAGTCCCATGTTAATGACAAATTAATATGAATTTTCTATTCATATGTTTTGTTGCCATTCCAGAAAATTATACCATCAACCAGGGTTAAATAGAAAAGTTCCATATCAGTTATAAATTGAGAACAAATCGCAAAGGCTGAATGTGTGTATGTTTGATTCTACTTAAGTCTCTTCCATTGACATCCCTAGTCCTTAACGCCTCTTTCAGAAGAAAATCTGTTATGGCAAAGATGTGAAGTCAGGATGATCAGCCTCTGAGGGCTCAATGAGGCTTAGTCTACTCCCTCCAGCTTGGGGTCAGACCCTTTGGGCAGCTGGGGTCTGGCTGAGGGACCTGCGGGCACACCCTCGGCTGCTGCTGGTGGAAGCTGCCTGCTGGGCTCACAGCCTGGCGCACCAGCTGGAACTTGCTCACCTGCTGGGGTTGGTGGGGCAGGACCATTTGCCTCCATGACACACAGGGAGGCCTCGACTAGGGACTGTGGGGCCTGGCCAGAAGCTTCTGCCTCAGGCTTCCGGGACTGCTGATCAGCCTGTGCTCCAACAGAGAGACCCTGGTCTTGGAGCTGTGCTTCTGACGCCCCAGGTGGAGTACTGGCTCTGGGGGGCTGCTCTGCCTCATTGCTTCCTTCCGCCTCAGCCTCACGAGTTGGCGGAGGCAGGGGACTCTCTGACTGGCATGAAGGGCTTACAGGGGGTTGTTCTGGCTCTTTGAGGGCTGTGTCACTGGCCCCTTGAGGACTGCTGAATTCTGGCTGGAATTCTTTGGACTGGTGGAGGGTTGACTCTGGATAATGAATTACCGTGAAGGCTGTGGCCAGACTTTTCACAGCGTTGTGAACTCTGTTGGCTTCCTCTGTGTCAACCTCTTCACCCACCGAAACAGTTGACTCTGGCTCTTCATCCGAGGAGGTGTGCTGACCTTCGTCATCCTTTTCAGGCACTTTTGCTTCTCTAATTTTTTTGTAGAGTTCATTTCTCTCTTCTTGTAAAGCTCGACAGAGATTCTCTAGCCTCCCAATTTTCATCACGAAGCACTCATATTCTTTAGCTCTCAATGCTTTCTGTGATTTGAAAAGATATACATGCATAAATCATCATGAAAAGCAAAGTTGCCAGGATGCGTTCTGGAGACAAAATAACTGGTCCAGGAATTTGTCTACCAGGCTCTGGGGTCTGACTACAGAGTGGTGGCTGGATAGACACTGGGTCAGACAGAGACATCAATTCTTTTTTTTTTTTTTGCATTGTATGCTAGACTCTGGTAGAATTTTAGTCACTCTGGTAGAAGTTAGGAAAGAAAGATGGCAAAGCCTCTCTCTGTTTTGGTCCAGGGCCTCTACAATCAAAGATGAATTTTCTGCTTGCACGACTTACAGCATGTAAGCAAAAGCTTGTGGCAAAACGAGACAGACTGGCACTTGGCTGTCAGCAGTGCCTTATCTATTCTGTAGATAAACTGCCATATTTTAATCCGGTAACTGTTTGATTGATGTTGATGAATAATAAGCTCATCTCTTTGAAATTGGTTGCAATTTGGGATGAATTGTTAGAACAGTCATTCTAACCAGAGAAACTCACTACACACTAATTCATGATGGTGGCTGTTAAAACTGTTCACTTTTCCTTCTTTTCTCTAGAAATGTCGGTGTGTTTGTGCATGACATCGTTCCTAATCATCTTATTCCTTCAGCCCACCTGTGTGTTACTCTGTGCCCGTTGAGACTTTCTTTACTTGTTTACATGGACAGACCTTCACCTGTGAGCCCCGCCTCTCAGGTCAAGGACCATGTATCTTTGCCTCTTTAGTCTCCAAACCTACTCGGAGCCTGATGTAGTATCAGTGTTTAAATGACTGTTGGAGGAATTAATATCTCCACAGCTGTCTATAACATAGCACATATCCTGAGTGCTTGGGCTAAAGACTTTTCTCAATATGTTCAAATCAATGAATTAATTCATTCTGTACTTATTGTGTGCTAGGCAAGTAAGACACTCGTCAGGCCTTTAAGGCATTCACAGTCCAGCAGGCCTGCTGCTGCTTTGGGAACAGCTGTGGGGTCCACAAGTAGACATGTGAGTTAAGAGTCACAATGCTCTCTATGAGTCTGGACCCAATTCTAAATTACTTTGCTCTAATTACTTGTATTATACTTTCATCTATCACACCCCAGAAAAATTCAGACCTTTTTCAGAGGTAATCATTTGTCCCATTAGGTTATAATTTCCTACATTTGAATATCTTGACGAGCCAGGGGAAAATACGCTAAGGGAAAAGCTTCCTCACCTCTTCAATCATGTCCAACAGAGCTTTGTTACAGCTCTCAAAGCGGGCTTTCCACGTGGCCGTGTCCTTTTCCAGCTTCTTCATTTTCTTAGTTGTCTACAGAAATTAGAGTGCTTTAATATTAACCCTGAAGAGTTAATACATCAAAGAAGCTATTAGTTCCATATGCGATATCAAGAAAAGTCCTTTTGCCAGCCGCTGAAGCCAACGCAAGTTTCATGTCAAGGAATGAAGAGCGTAGGGAGAGTCATGGTTCATTCCTGAGTCATCTAGGTCAGTGGCGAGCACACTTTTTTGGCCCTGGAGCCAATGCAGGCAACTTAGGGCCACCCTGTTTTGTCATTGGTTTTTCTTTCACTCAAAATAAAAATAGCAAAATAAATAAATAAAACAAAAATAGCTTAATTCAGTTCCCCAAATAAGCTTGCAATTTTGATTATTTACGCTATTGAATAGAAGACTCTCAGTGAGAAAACTGTCCTGCCTCTTCAGCCATTAAAATGTTGGTAATATCTGGGTCCATCAGAGGAGTAGCCACACACGGCAGCTTTCTAAATATTTTCTCAGTCTTTACATTTGTAGAGTGCCGTAGGGCTCACAGAATGTAATTTACACATCACTTCATCCTTGAAACAGTCCCACGAGGAGGGTTCTGTTTTTCACCTCCACTTTATAAATGGGGGAACCAAGGCTCAGAGTGGTGGAGTAACAGTCAGGTGAGTTAGCAGAGTCTGGGGCTGGAGTTATTTCATTCCATTTAATACAACGTGTGTAGAGCGACTGCTCGTCACCAGGCTGGGACTGGGTCTGTGGCTACAGCAGTGAAGGAAACACAGCCTGTCTTTTTCAAACCTGAAACTACTCACATTTCTGGTTGTCGGATCTGCTATCTGCTTGGCTAAAGGAAAGGAAAAGGTATGTAATCTGGCGCAACTTCCCTGGTGAACCAGAGCTGGGCACTTGCTGCTTTGTGCCAAGCTGCCCGAGGCTGGGCGAGGCCACATGCTGGGCCCAGACTCTCCGCTCCTGGGCTCTATTGAGAAGCGAGGTGAGCCTCCAGTGGGTTTTCATTTTGATAATTTCTTAACCAACTTATTTATAAACTTTTTAAGGTCATCAACCCTTTTCAGAATTTGATGAAATCTATGGGACCACATTCAGACAAATGTTAATATGAATATGAAATTTTTTTGCTTATTCTTAGGTCTACTACTAAAAGTCTATAAAATCCAGAGTAAGAAATTCTGCTCTTAATCATGAAGATTAAGATTTCTCTTTAAGATTTATTCCAATCTTAAAACTATGTAATTTGTTGTTGTTTTTTTGTTTTGTTTTGTTTTGTTTTAGCTGAGCCATCCTGCCACCTGTTGGCAGTTCAGCGGCAGCTCAGCTTGGGCCGGGAATCCAACTGGCGACCCTGTTGCAAACTATGTAATTTTTAAGTAAACATATTTTTTCTGCTCTAATATTTATTTCAATCTTAAGACTCGATAATTAAAAATAATTTTTTTAATTGGTTGGATCCATCCATAAATGGGAAAGCTGTAACTTTTAACAAATGTTAGTAGTCTGCTTAAGTTTGCTCACTGAATTATGAAATTTGTCATATTATTTTATGAAAATGTTTTGAAAAAGTTTCT